CCATTCTGGCCTGCACTTCTGTCTGTTGAAGCCACTTCTTGAAGCAAACTGAAAAGAAATGTACGGATATAAGTACACTGTAAAAAGAAAACTTGACATGTATGTTAACATTTGAGCTGCTGTGGTGGCCAGAACCGTTAAAGTATGGTAAAATACATTACAAATTACAGTTGGTTGGCATAGACGTTACAGTCAACAATTGCTTATGGTTAATTACAATGGCAACAACAAATAGAGCTAGTGTACACGGTGCAGCTGTATTATCTGGGAAATAGAAGAATTGGATCAGGATTCGGTATAGGCAGACAATCAATATCAAATGAATCGGATCATTATTAGCATCAGCACTTGATCACCTTTGTCGACTTGCAGCCTAAATACAAAGAGAACTCCACTCCTCTCCTACCACTCTTACCTCTAATGAGCCTTGGTAGAACTAGGGACCGAGTCATAGGGTCCAGAACTGACTGAAGACATGTGGAACAGAGGACAGGCATGGTTCCATGTACAGGGAACTGGAACTTTGAACGGGTGTTTTCATCTTTTCTGCCTGAAGATTCACAAGTTCTTGATCAGGTGTTTGATGTGGGCTGGCATGATCCTTTCTGCAGCGATAAATAAAGAAAACATTGTTAATAATAGTAATGATGGTAACAACAATAATATTAGTATAACTATTTATATAGCACTTAAACAATTGCAAAGTGATTCTCACAACAAAAATAAAGAACAAAACAATACCAACAATAAAAAAACAAATGATTATAGGAACGTTAAGAGACAAAGAAATGATGAACATTCTGAGAGGCCGACTACAAAAGGTAGACTCAATGGCTCTTGATGACATCAATGAGCAGTCCCAATAGATGCTGTTGTATAAAAAGAAATAGAATAGGTCCAGATTTCTTCTATTTTGTGTTGGATGATTTGTTTTATTGATTGCTGATGGATGTTAAGATGTGTTTTACAATTATTACAAAAAGATTATTGTAATCAAAAAGATTGCAAATAATCATTTTAATAAAATCACTAGCAATATAGGGTTTATTCAACAGCAGTAAAGCATTAAGTTGCTAAATTAACGTACACTGAACTGTAAAACTTACCACTATTTAGGAAAGGATCAGAATCAGAAGGATTGACTAGTAGGACAGCGAAGAGGTGGAGAAGGTCTCTGTCATGTACAACCATTGGTAGATGTCACACCTGAAAGAAAGGTAAGGAAATAAGACAACACAGGAAGACAAACATTTTCTTAAGTAAAAGATCAAATCATGTCAAGCTTTAACCTGAGCCTGTTTTTTCAGTCTTTACAATGCACTGTTGGAAATTACATTCCAAAGGCTAAATTCAAACTCAATACCATAAATAACTGGGTACCAAAGTGCTTTACCTGATAGAACACGTTCCACACCATCCGGCTGGGCCTTTTGCTGCATATCATCTCCTCCCTCTCTCTCTCTGGTGTTAGGTTCCAGTAGATCTCTATTATCCAATAAAACTGAAATTCCCCAAAAAATCATATTAAAAAAAGTTTAAAACAATAACTTGCTTTTGGCATTGAAATGGATTAGAATCTCATCTTTTTCCTGGATGCCAGGAAGGCCAGGAAGTCGTTCCCTTCAAGTCCGTAACCAGTCATAGGAGTTCAAATGCAAAGCCTGAACGATGACAAGAGCAAGAGACTTACATTTTACAATTATATTTGTAATTCATACCAGAGCAGTGTGTACATAGGCCCTGTACGACATGCAGAGAACAGATCAAATCCCCTGACAGACTCACACACTTTGGTGATGTCCTCATCTGGTAATGTTTCATTTTTTTTAGCAGCAAACTAACATTACTCAAAGATTGGACCCAACTCATTTACAGTATGTTTTGCATCTCCTCAATAATGGTCTGTATAGTTGAGTAGAAAAAAACTGTCCCTACAATTTCCGGTAGATTAACAAAGAAAAGTTTGCAATGAAGCACAAAACCCCTCTTGGTATTAAGCGAGCTGCCACATAAAGTGCAGCTTAACATGCTAACCTTTGGTGAGCTACAGTAAAGCTAACTTCATGCTCAACACAAAACCTTTAACGTGCATTACATTGACGATTTTAAACACAACTTAACTCTCTCTACTTGTAAGATAACGTTTAGTTAACTTACCCTTAAATAACTAACTAGGTTTTTCAGTGGAAACACAAACTGCAGAAAACGTTAGCTGCTAACTGTTGTTAGCTAAGACAGCTAGCTCTTAAGGGAAGTAACATAGCCTCATGGCAAACGTAAGGTTAAGTTAACGTAACGTTGTAAGAAAGCAAAACAAACCTTCAAGAAAGCTTTTACTCCCTCTCCTTAGCGGGCATTGTTGATTGTTCGAAACACGATCTCTCGATGTGCTGCCCACACATCGTCAGTTTCATCGACCCCGGGTTACCTGGTCTAGCAAAAGTCTGCCTCATACGACGCACTTGTTTTTGTCCATATATTCAACATTTGATCATTTTTTGGCCACAAAAACATCCCATAACCAGATGTTGAGACGGCCCCACATCCCAACCCAGTCTCAAGGCATTTCGTGTTCACCAAAACGATTTTTTATCTATTGATTCGTGTTCACAAACACGATT